TTTATTCTGCGATTTCAAAGCTGAATTTTTAGCATCATTACTCCAGTCACATGATCCTTCAGAAATCCTTCAAATATTCTGATTTGCTGCTCAAAAAACATTTATTATTATTATGTTGAAAACAGCTGAGTAGAATTGTTTCAGGTTTCTTTGATGGATAGAAAGTTCAGAAGAACAGCATTGATCTGAAATAGAATTTTTTTGTAACATTATAAATGTCTATCATCACTTTTGATCAATTTAAAACATCCTTGCTAAATAAAAGTATTAATTTCTATAATCCCCACCCCCCAATTTTTTTTTTATTTTTTATTATACTGACAAGTTTTTGAATGGAATAGTGTATAATGCTACAAAAGCTTTTTATTTAAGATAAATGCTGATCTTTGGATCTTTCTATTCAACAAATAATCCTGAAAAAAATTTACTCAACTGTTTTAAATATTGCTAATAATAATAATAATAAATAAATAATAATAAATGTTTCTTGAACAGCAAATCAGCATATTAGAATGATTTCTGAAGGATCATGTGACACTGAAGACTGGTGAGCAGAAGAGAATTCTTTAAAAAAACATTAAAAATCTTACTGTTCAACATTTTTGACTGGTAGTGTATATAAAACAATTCCAGGATATAATTTCACTAAAACATTTTGTGACTCTAAATTGTCTAGATTAATTGCAATCTGCTACACTGACACGCATTTACTTTAATTTACTTTATATATTATATACATTTTTACCCTTGACGTTTTTTTTTGCTAGTATGCACCAATAATAAATGTAACATTTACACAAATGTATCTTTTAAAATCTGTTTTGGTTGATAACTTCAACTGCTTGATGTATCAGCAGTCTCTAATCTCAGCCAACTAGAGATGCAGAGGCAAAAATAAAGAATGACCCTCAAACACCACAGATGTTATTCAGAGTCCACATGAAGAGGCGTTTTTCGTGCTCATGATGTGGTATGATTACCATCATGACATGAGAAGAGAAACTGAGAAGACAGAGAAACTTTAGGAGAATGGAACTACATTGATTTCACCTGAACCACTTTTTTGGTGTTTACTCGCTCCTTTAATGGGACTCAGTCATGCTTAGCCATTTTCCCTGGTATCATCACCTCTTCCAGTTGAGCAAGTGGTGTGTTAATTAGCCCTCATCACCTGAAGCCTGACGGAGGAGGTGAGGGAGTGGATCTCTGAGCATATGGGAGACCCTTTGATACAGCTGCTGCTGATAGATCAGTTTATTATATATACTACATACTACAATTCAAAATTATTTTACAGCAGTTCATTCAGTCTATTTCACTCATATATAAAAAAATCTCTATATATATATCTACTTACAAGTAATCTATTTATAATTCATATTTATTTGCTTAAACTTCAAACCTACAAAAATTGCTTCAAAACAGTGATAAGTGGGTTCCCTTTCAGTCGGTCACTCTCGACATCACGTCGGATGACCGACGAATTGGGATCTTGCTTAGAGAGACCAATCTACTTCGAGTGTAAACTAAACGAGCCAATGCACATTGGCATGCGATTATTGCATCCAGCTGCCGCTGATCACAGCGTGAGTATAAGTAGGCAGCAGATGCAGCGCATATTCAGCTTTGCGCTTCGGAGCCGAGCGATCACATCGTTCTGCTCCTGACTACGCTACTGAGAGAAGAAGACTGAACGAGTTCAGCGCGCTCTTGGAGAGTTCTTCGTGTTGGCGGTACGGCACTTCAGCGGTGGTGGTTTCCCGTGTCGAGTGGGTTGCACACATCAGGCTGCACTACCCCGTTTGTGTTGCAGATGATCATCTCCCCTGTGCGCCTCAGCACGCTAAAAGAGCTTTTTCCCTAAAAGAGCAATTTCGGGTGCGTCTTTTTAAAGACGACGTTGCGTGGCAAACTTGACGTTACGTCTTTGTAAAGACGATGTGGGTCTTGCTATAGACAACGTATCACCCGGGCGTTTCTGGATGCGGTCGTTACCTGGCGCTGGGTGATGGTCACGATCGCTGCCTCACG